TAATACACAGTTTAAATTTAAAAGCTCAAATGCTGTACATGAGAGGTTAAGCTTTATTGGCTCTTCCTGGCGGTTTTACAAGGTTATTCCGGATACTTTCCGTCATGACGTCAAATGACGCGATATACCGCGTGATACTGCGTTTTCATGCGACACACCCACCGTGGTGTACCGCAAAATACCCCACGCGTTTTGAATGGCTGCATCTGTATAATTGAAAATACAGGCCAGAAAAATATCCGTCATTATCTAAATTACCAATATTTCTCTGTCATCCTTTTGCTCTGTGCCTGTCTGTGCTTTACTAGTCCAATTAAAAATCTACACTTACGTTTTACAAGTGACATAGAATGCCTTTTTTAATACTGATAGAAAATGTAATTCATACACTGCTATGAAAAGTCTTAGATTTTGTGTAGTGTTGTACCCTTTTAATTAATAGTTGAGTAGCAGATCAAGAGCAAGTTACTAGGCATGTGACATTTCTGGTAGGTAAATACCAGAATCAATCATGTACTGTGTATGCATTAAGATGATAAAATAATAAGGCCAGCACAAGGAGGAAGTGCAACACTAGGCAAAATGAAATAGTAAGAAAACAGGATACAGATGGTGTGGATACCAAGCAGTAATGTCAACAGCCTGAGGATCTGTACATCATGTTAACATTGAGTATGAACAACAAACAAATCACATTGCCAGTCTGAGAGTTAAGAACATTAGTGCATAATGGTGTAAGAGTGCCTTAAGACTTTACTGAGAGCCGAGTGACCACAGGTGGTCTCAAAATGGGCAAGTTTAGGGCCATCATGGAAATAGCTCTGAGTAGTTCTGAGTTCTGTGAGTCGTTTGTTCCATTACCGTGGAGCAAAGGAGGAGAATGAGTAGGCTCTGGAAGTTTGAGAATGGCAATGGGAAACAGGAATTCTGGAAGGAAATCTGAGATGGAATGGGAGGAAAGAGGTATGGACCCAGATAAAAGACCTATGATGGGAGCAAGATGTGGCTAGACAAGGGATCCTCAATAGTTTTACTAGTCCACTATTCCTGGAGGACCATTGTCTACAGGATTTCAGACCTACTTGTCTCTTGCATCTGCTTATTGTCGGTTTAATTGAACAAGTTTAGGAGCTTCTTCCAGCTCTTCAGGTACCAGTGCTTTAAAAGAAACCTGAGAAATATGCAGACACACCAGCTCTCCAGGACCAGGATTGGGTATGGCTGGGCTAGGGCTTGAACCAGGTGTCTCAGAGTTATCGAGTTTGTTCTTTTGCTAAAATTAAATGGATTTTAATTTTAGCTTGGTCGGGGTTTTAAAACCTAACTTAAAAGTAATCCAAGTAATATCCCAAAAAGGTCTTTGTATGTTCAGCTATGTTTCTGTTCTACCTAGTTCTGTTCACAAGTGGTTTATATTGTAATCTTAAAAGCTGAGTTTAGAGCAGGGAGACTGGCTGTGTCACTTCTTAAAGTAATAGAAAGTACTAGAGGAGTAAAATTTGCATATTGTAGTATTGTATCTCCTAATTGTGTCTAAGACTTTATCATAGCAATGTATACGTGCACATAAAATAGTTAAAATGTGTAATGTGTTAAGCATATTTTTTTTCTCAAAATTTCAGAATACATTCAGATTATTATGACCTTGGAGGAATTGGTGCAGCACGTTGTGATGACAGCTATCCAGGAGGTGATTTTATTTGTTCAGTAGATAATGATGTTTCTTACCACCTTTGCTTAATTTGAAAAAAATTAGTGGACCATATGTGTTAAAGTGATCATTTGTAATGTTTTATGTTGCAGCTGATGAGCAAAGAAACTGTGTCAAGTTTTGGAACTGAACCACTTGGGGACGTTGAGCAACAGGTGACAGCAAAGGATGTTTTTAAAACATATTGTTTTGCATTTTTTGGTAATCCAAGAACATTTGATTTTCTTTTCATTTAAAGAGCATTTTATTCCCTTAAAGAGAGAAGACTAATTTAGCAGTACAGTGGAAAAATAAGTAGAAACTTATTTCAAGTGTACAATTTTTAAGTATTTTTTCTGATTTATTAATCATTCTAAAAGTAAGCTCTTGGCTGATATTTTTCTTATTTGTGCAGGGACAGACCTCTTTGTGTTAATCATGTCTGCTACTTAGCTACTGTATGCACCGAAGGTGCAACAGATTGACCAGCTTGATTCCAGGAGTATTGTGCTTCACATCATATGGGCATTATTTCTGTCACATAGGGACTTACCCATTTTAATAATCAGGCTTGCTGTAATCAATTCTTTAAATGTCATCGTTGATGCAAGATGATTCTAGACTTGTGCCTAAGCAATATCTTGGGCATAAATGTGTAAAGATGCAATTAAACAGTACAAACTAATAGTGGTATAGTAAAGACTGGTGAATGTTCATCTCAGATCTGCCCAGTCCACTGCAGAAAACGTATTCCTAAAGATAACACAGTGGACTCCACTGTAGTGTGTAGTGTGTAGTGTGTAGTGTGTAGTGTGTAGTGTGTAGTGTGTAGTGTGTAGTGTGTAGTGTGTAGTGTGTAGTGTGTAGTGTGTAGTGTGTAGTGTGTAATGTGGGTGGTAATGATATGGGTTTCAGCTCAAGAAGGCAATGGAGGAGCTAGCAGAGCTTATGGCCGAGAAGGAGGAGCTCGCTCAGCGTTGTCAGGAGCTTGACATTCAGGTATGTTATCGAATTTTACTGATTAAGTACTAACATGGTTATTTTAAAAATGATTTTATTCCTTACTTTCACTTCTTTTTATACATTTCCAAACACCATGTTTAATGTTAGTTTCTTGAATTAAACAATAATTTTGGTTTCTGTTTTCTACATTTATGTGTCCGTTAAAAGATTTCCAGTAAATTTCAGGATCTAAATTTGCTCTGGTGTAAAAAGATTTCAAAGTCAGAGGTTGAGCGACTTGAGTAATGATAAATAATGCATTACATTCTTTTGTGTGATAAGCATGTGTAAATCCAGGAAAGTGGTAAAAGATTCAGACTATTTTGTATAACTAAGTAAATCGCCATATAAGCCTTGATTACAATAAGTGATGTCCCTAAATATGGTTTGTGAAATAGGATATTTAGCTGCTAAATAAACTTAGCTTTTTGTATCCAGTGTATTTTCATTTTATTTGTTTTTTTCTGCTGATTAAAAGATATTTTGCTGGGACTAATTTTTGACAGATTCACTTGTAAAATCAAAAAAATGATTCACAGTTCCAGGATTAAAGAGAGGGTAAGTTTCCATCCCAAACATAAATGTCAGCATGGAAATTAAGTATAACAAACTATTAATCTCAAATTACCCTGCCACTAACAATTTTAACCTTGTTTGAGGATCTGTTAAATAAAACTGCAAGAGTAACTCGTACTGTAAGGCTTATGTTCCTGTGAGTTTCAAGACATTAGGCTTTCTTTCTCTTAAGCTTCCAGTGCTCTCCATTTACATTTTTTTATGCCTGTGCTGGTTTAAATTGAACCACAAAAGCTATAAGTAGAACTGCTTTTCACTTTTTGTTTCTTACTACTAAGACTGGCTGTTCAACTCTGTCTCTTTCATTTTGCCTTGAACTGTACTTTTGCACTTTTCTGCATGGTGGCAGAGTGCAGCTGTACGTTTAGTGTATGCAAAATATTGTCTGTAATGTAAACCTCTTATCAGATGCAAGTTGAAATAATGGAGTGGAGTGACAAATGCTGTGTGATAACACAGGTTTTAGTCCTCTTATTGTCTTGTCTTTCTTGGAATTGGGGTTCCTTCTTCCAGCCCTTATTTGTGTGCTACAGAACAGAAAACAGAAACAGAAATACAGAACAGAAAGGGGTCACTAAGTAATTTGAAGACTGTATTCTGTAGCTTGTCCTCCCATACCCAAGAAGTGCTTTTTGGCAGGAGTTTCAAACTGGCTTTTGTGCAGTTGTTCATGGTGCCTGTTTGGATTACCCGTATTGTCTGACAGATTAAGCTGGTTAAGAATCATGCAGAGTTTTGAACATAAATTCTTTGTCGGTCACTGCTGTTCACCTGACAGAGCTTTGTAAAACTTGCATGGGCTCTTTCTACCTCAGTTCTCTTCAATTCTTGACCCACCCATAACTCTCATGCATTCTGTGCATGTTCTAACAAATACTTTTACACTGTATATACTGTAGAAGTCCCTTACAATCTTTTGGCTCTTCCTTTGGATACACAGTAGGAACAAATTAGTTTTAAAATAGCTATTCATAGTTTATTTGATTTTTAATTGTAAAATGCAAATTACAGAAGACTGCAACCAGAATGCTCTTTCTTCAGGTTTTACCCATTGTGAAACACTACTAAAGGGCACAGCCAGTAATGTGTCTGTTGTGTTGGAATATTAACATCATGCTAATGATACCAGCGTGCCGCATAACAAACATATTTGTTTTAATTGTTTATGGTTGTACTTCATTTGTCACGAGGAGAATAGCAGCATTCGAAAATAATGTTGCACTCTACATCCAGAGATGGTGCTTGTGCAGCAGTTAGGAGATACATTTATAATAAATTCCTTCTTAAAACACACCTGATGTTTTAGTAATTAATATAAATATTTCATTGGTAATTATTCATTTTTGTATAGATGTTTTTAATAAAATTCACAAAGTGTCTTAAGTCCTATTTTAAAGGGAGAAATGTAAATGACCCTTTTCAATTTAAAGGAACAAGTAAAGGTTTATTCCATGCTGAAAAGAGAAGAAAAGAAATACAATATTTAGGCTGTGGAGCCTATTCATGCTGACGCAGCTACTTACTTGAACTTTTCAATTTAATTTTTTTAACGGTATTAAAAAAATAAGTCTTAGTGGAAAGTTACTAAAGGGATCATAGATGCTTTTTTAGAGACCTCTGTTTCCAGTATGAATGTTTAGTTAATAATTTTTTAAGTTAATGTAATCAAAATAGTTTAATATATGTATTGTAAATTGCCCTGGTAAGGGTGTCTGCTAAGTAAATGTATAATAATAACTGTTGCTGGGTTTAGAAGATAGCTCTTCCCAGACTCCAGATAATGTGGATATCATGGAATACTCTAATCTCAGAGCCCCTGTTCCATAGGTGGCAGTGCTGCAAGAGGAGAGGAACAGCCTCTTGGCCGAGAATGATGTCCTGACTGACCGGGCCAATCAGCTGGACTCCTTCGATGACCCCAACACACCATCAGGGAAGAAGTACTGCCACCTGCAGCTACAGTTCGAGCAACTGCAGGAGGAGAACTTCAGGTCAACTCACACACCAATCCTTAATGTCTTAGCAAGACCAGACAAGTTCATTCCTCAAGAACCTTACTCATCTTGACTTTGTTGCAATAGGATGATGATTACTACTACTACTACTACTACTACTACTACTACTA